TCGGTAACAACCAGAACTCAAATAATGAATTTCAAAAAAATTGTATAAATTAGTCTCGTAGTTATGCTAAAAATGTAAAATATGGAACTAAGAATTCGATTTTCCGAGCCCTGATATTTCCAAAAAATTTACAGATTCATTGTTTTAACACCCCGAATTTAGATAATAAATTTCAAATAAATCGGTTGATTATTTTTCTTTATCGGCCCCCAAAAAGGTCCAGTTCTGAGACCTGACAAATCCCAAAAGTTAATCAATGCCGAAATAAAGTTACATATAAAATTTCATTAACATTTGTTCAGCCGAACACGCGTGAGAAAACCCGAGTATACACTGACTGACATACAGGCGAATCGGCAGACATGTGAATTGACATCTCTTTAAAAATAGTTTACATACGCTTCCCTACTATGAAAACCCAACATTTGAAATTGGCGCCTCATAACCTCCTTTTTTATATGTAATGTGGTCAGTAAAAATGAAAAAAGGAGAAACTTGCTTTGGAACGAACCCTTAATTTAAAATAAATACGTACATAAAGACGTTTCTTTTCGTACTTTTAGCATATTTCTATCAAAATTGGTAATAAATTTGCTTATTATTTTCACTTTGCGTTTGTTCGTTCAACCATGCGTTTGTTTACTTCTATTATATGGCCTTTAAAATAAAAAACTGATATTTTATATAAAGTTTCTGAGGAACCCAAATTTTAGATCGAAATTTGAGCCTATTTCCACCTCTCTAAACCTATGAGTCGTTATGACACCATCAAATCCTTAAAAATGCAATTTTTTGACAAATACTCGTAGTTGCGTTGAAACCACAACCATTTTTAAATTTCAAAAATACAAAGTAATAGCAAATTTCTACCTGAAATCCAAATTTTACAATAGAAAGTTTGTAGTGTTGCCGTACAGACTCATCGATTCGTGGAAGTCGAACATGGAATATATTTTTTAAACTTTCCTCTCATCCTAAAAGTATGCAATTTTCTTTTAGCAAAAGTAGCGTTTTCTTTTACAAATTTTCTTAAAACTTTAATTTTATCCCTATGTACATACTTTTTAAATATTTTCGAAAATACGTAAAATATACATAATGTACAATAATATGCACAATAAAAATATTATATTAAAATAAAATTCTTTACATTATAAAATCATATATAAGCCCACCATTAAGGATATTAAATTTATTTAAAAATTTGCAGATTAAGGTTTATTAAATACTTAAAATGCCAATACAAAACAGAAAAAGATATGTGTGTTTTAAAATATCCTTATGTAAAAATATCATACACAGATTCTTATATATACAAAACCATATTTATTAATATATTTTTATGTACATATAAAATATGAAAAATGAGACTCTTGTAAGATTCAAATATCTTTAAGTAAGATACCCATACAAAGCATATACAAACATACATATAAGTATTTTAAGTTATATAAAGAAAGGAGATAACGATTTAGGGCGAAAGATTGTTATGGATTGAACATTTCCAGTTTTGTATATACATAAACACAATGTAATACGCAAATACACATATTATATAATATATACAAGCAAAAACATATTATGTACATAAATATTATATATGTGTATGTAATGTATTCAATATTGTTCGGTTGTAAAACATTTTATTTATCTTAAATTCAATAAGATGGAGGAATCTTTGAATGATAAAACTTTAAGGGAAATAACGATAGTGCGGTTACGACCAATTACTAACATTGTGCGCGTACATACTTATTACATGTGTCTTATGGCATTTTAAATTTAAAATTGTTATTTATGCTTTCACTCAAAAATTTTAATTAGAAAAAAACTCTTAAAGTTTTTTAACTCTTAAATGGAATCAAAACAAAATTAATGAGAGTCAAAGAAATTAATTGAAAAAAAAAAACAAAAAATAACAATAATCAAAAATTACAAAGTTCTTTACAAAATTATAAAAATATTTTTTTTTAATTAAAAAAGTTCAAAATAAAACAAGCGTTTAGAAAAAATTTGTTTTTTTTTTCAATTTGTCAAAAAAAAATTCTGAACATGGCACTCACTCAAATTTTATTTTACTTTTTAAATTAATTTTAGAAAATTTCAAGAATTGCATATTTAAACTTAAAGCTCTTGGCCACTTATAAATTATACTCATTTTTAAGTGAGATCTTATACCGTATTATGAAGTGAAATATTGGAAACAAGAAAATCAACAAAAAAAAAAAACAAAAAGAAACCAGCAAAGAAAAAAATTTCCTTAAATGAGGTTATAAAATATTTTTCTTAAAAATATTTTTAACTTTATGAAAAATATAAAAAAAGCAAAAACAAAAACAAAAAATAAGAAATATTTGATCCATAAAAGCTTCTCTTATCCGTAATAAAATCCTCTTGTGTTGGCATTAAAAATATTAATCAGCTATTATATTCGAAAGAATCGAGAGAATGAGAGAGAGAGGGAGAGAGAGGAAGTGAAAAAAATCAACTAAATCAAAAGTAATGAAAAAGGACAAAAGATCTTAATATCATAAAGTTTTTAGAACTTTACCAAAAAAATTAAAAGAAAATTTGATTTCAAGTTTCATTCTGTCTGTATGTTCATCGATTCGCCCGTGTGAGATAGAAACATACGTACTTGTTCTTTCTGAGAATAAAATAGGCATTTTTTGAAGAAAAATTAATATTTGTAAGAATCCGATTTCTCTAAAGATTGAATGAATTGAGATTGCCACCTTTTAAGTATTATACTTGCGCAACAGGAACCAACCTATTAACATTAAACATTACAGCTTTTAGTTTCCCATATAGTACTCATATAACTAAGTTCCCTATGAATTTCAATCAGAATTTTAGCTTTATTAATTCAATTCTTTATGAAAAATTTGAAAACAGTATTTTTTATGTAAAATAAGAAATTGTAAGATAGATACTGCCTTCCAATGATTCTAAAATAATTTATCTAACTGCAACCGAATATTATTAAATTATATTAGGTTCTGTTAACAATGTAAGAAAAATTTAATAATTTGGTTAGCCTATTTTAGGGCCTTTTTGTTATCGCTGGAACGGACGAACAGGCGGTCAGGAAAAAACATTTAAAAAAAAACTGATTAAGAACATATGCTTTAACGTCTATATCCCATACGTATTTTTCTAAGCGTTCTAAACACTTGTTCGCACGAGTGTAAAGAGAAATTTTGAATAAAACTACTATTTTTTAGCTAAATGTGCTGATTTTCAATTAAATTACTTCGCCCAAGTTTATTGTTTGTATTTCATTTTTTTTTTATAATAAATTTATAAAAATATATGTATGTTTATTAGTTTTTATACATCGTACTGTTTGTCATATGATATATACATGTACAATAACTGCCGTACATACTTTTGTACAAGTATATACGGTTTTTGAATTAAATTTTCGGGAAAAAATGAAGATTTTTATAAGAATTAATTTTCAATGTTGATAAAAACATTTTTATAAAATCTAATATAATAAAATGTCGGGGGCGATAGGAGGAATGTGTAAATTTCAGCACTTAATAAATTCATTAAGGTTTTTAAAGAAATCTTTTATATATTAAAATATTTACATATTATACAAATATATTAATTTTTATTAAAAAATAAAAATGACTATAAATAATTTATTTTTATTATTTTTTTTTCTACTTTCAGATTTGTCTGGTCTTCTTATGGGTAAAATAAACCAAAAAAAAAAACATAAAATATATGCATACACACTTGTATATGTAAAATATGTATCTATATATGTATATAAAAGAAAAGTAAAGCACTTCGATTCATAAATTTATACTTAACTTTAATTTTTGATTTATTCGTGTATATTTTTTCTAATTTTTTTCATATATACTCGTATGAATAATCTTAAAGCAATAATATAGAAGGATATAAAAGTTGAGAATTCCTGAATTTAATTTTATTTTTCTATATTTTTATTATGTTATACATTATAGGTTTTTTTTTTAATGTTGTATGTGTGTGTTATTCCACCTATATACATTACATATTAATATACTAATTCAAAAAGGATATTTCAAATAAAATAATAAAAGACAGATATATTGGTTGAAAAGGACATCTGATGATAATCAAAATAAAAACAAATAAAAAAAGAAAATACTATAATGATATAATAATGAAAGGGAAGAAGGAAAGAAAGACAAGCAAGTAAATTACAATAGTCACGTCTAATTTCCGATTTATGTATATTTATTTTTTTTTTTTGTGTTTGTATATGTATGTATTGAATTATTACTTTAACAATTTTCCACTGATGATTTAGCAAGAAATAGAAATCAAGTAAATAAGAAAAAAAGAAAATAAAACAATATTATTGATGATTTAGGAGTAAAATAAAGAATTTATAAAAAAATTGTTGACATTAAAAGAACCGGAATTCAAATATATTATTTTTATTATTTTAGTTTCCTATGAATTACATGCAAATTTAACCGGCAAATTGTCCTCTATGAAAAATTTTATGTACAAGAATATTGTGTTCTTTCTATGTATTTTTCATGTTTTCAAATGAAATTTTTCAATATTTATTAAAACAATGACTTAAAACTGAAAAGAAAAATCAAAATAAGAATTTCTTAATATTGAATAAAATGTTTGAAAGTTTTTTTTTAAAAACAAGACATGAAAGTCCTTTTAATTCTTCTTTAATATTAAAAAAATATAAAAAATCTATTAAAAATATCAATAATATTTCATTAATAATTATTACTAAAAATAATACAAATAATAATTACAATTCCAATATTATTATTGTAACAATAACAGTAAAATCAATTAAAATAATAATTTATGAAAATAATAGTAAAAATAAATTCAATGTAGAAAATTTCAATAAACTTATTATAAATAATTATTATTACTATATAATATTGAAATGTCAAAAGAAAAATTCAATATTAAATATAAAAAACAACGAAAAAGATAATAATAATATTTTAATAAAAATAATAAAAAATTTTTTAAAATTATTATTAAAAATACAAGAATATAATTGTATAAAAATGGAAGAAACTGAATTAAAATTAAAAGATGAAAAAATTTTAGATTCAAATGAATTAGTTAATAATAATACATTTAATAATAATAATATAGTGCCATCAATGGATTGTGATACAATAATAGAAAAAATTCCAACAATAGATGTATCAGATGAACAATGTTCATCATTAATTAAAGCAACTATGGATAAAACAACAATAATACCAAAAGAATTATTAATTAAAAATGAAACAACAAATAATATAAAAATGATAACAGATAATACAATTAAAACAACAACAACAACAACAACAACAAATATAAATTCACCATTAACTGATGATGAAATGACAACAAATACCATAACAACAGCTACAACTACAACAACAAATAATACTGATAATACAATGGTATCAGTTAAAATTAATGAAGCATCACCACCATTACAATTAACATCATCAATATCACCGATTACTAATGAAATAGAAATAACAGAAAATAAATCAATAATATCATCAAACCAAATAGTAACAACCCTACCATCATCAACAACAACAACAACAGAAGAAAATTTAATAAATCATGAAAATTTAATACAAACAAATAATAATAATGATAAAATGAATACAATAGCAATTGTAACATCAAAAGATGTTGATGATATTGCTAGATTATTTGAAGAGAAACCGGAAGCATTTGAAAAATGGTTAACAGAACGTGCACAACCTGATGTTGTATCAAAATTACATAAATTTATTGAAAGTCGAAGTTTATTATTACCACAAAAGAGTCCAAAACGAACTTCTGTTAGCTCAGAATTATTTCAACAATGGATGGCATCATCACCTGTACAGGTAAATTTATATATGTATATGTTATATTTATATATAAAATAAAATAATTAAAATAATAATATAAATAAAAATTAATAATTTTGCTATATATAGATGTGTGAATTATATTTCGTACATAAATACGAAAATTGTATTTGCGGTGCCAAAAAAATTAAAAAAAAAAAAAACACTGATTTCATTGTTATTCCCTTTTTTTTTGTTTTTTTTTTTAATTTTATCCCTTTTGTCATCCTTGGAAACTTATTTTTAATGTGTTTCTATAGATTTGTTTTTTGTTGTTTTTTTTCCCCTTGTTGTATTTTATTTCAGGATAATGAAAATACATAAAACTTTACTTTCTATCACAAACTTTTTCAATTTTCCATAAAAAAGAAAATGAAAAAAAAAAAAAACGAAATTTGTCGGAAATTATTTTTGAATTTTATTCTTTTCCCTTTTGGTATACACAACAAAAACAACAAGAAAAAGAAACATAAGAAAATAGAAAAACAAAAAAGAGGAAGCAGGATTTAGGCTTAGATAAATATAATTTTTAATTAGTTATAACAATTTAGAATCAACTTTTGGTTTGAAGAAATTTCATATACTTTCGAAAGATGTGCGAGAAAAGAAATGAAAAATATTAAAGAAAATAGAATCAATAGAATTTTTTTCATTATTTTTTTTGTCATTTGGGATAAAACGAGCAGAAAAACTTTGAAATTAATAAGGAATTCGGGTTTTGTTATTTTTGTTTTTTAAATTGTTTCACTTTCAAACCTAAAGAGACAAGATTAAAAACAAAAGAAGGTATACAAGGAGTATAGAGTGGGTTAAAATATTTTTGTTATTTTTAAATAGTTTCATATTTAATAATCTGTTGTCTAATAGAGTAATTAAATAACAAATATTTGATCTTAAATTTTTTTCTTAAGTTTTCTTTAAAAAACTTTTTTTTTCCGAATAAATCATAATTTTATAATACTAGAAATTTTAATTGAATTTTAATTGTAGAAATAAAAAAAATTTATTAAAATTTCGGTGCCGTTTTTGATCTTGTAATAAATCAGTGATATAAGTAATGGTGGAATAAGACCAGCTGGAATTTGGGGCTTGTGTACAAAAAAAAAAATTTGTAACTTTTTTTTATATTTTTCAATGAAAAAACGATTATTATAGGACATGAATTAAATTTTCATTAAATTTTAAATAAAATTTATTTTATATTTCTTAATTTAGTATACAGGGTGTCTCGTAACAAAGTGCACTGCATATATACCATTGTATAAACCATTATGAGTAAACTAATCTTTTAACTGAATTTTTTACTTTTTGAATTTTTAAGTATGACTCGGTACTTGTGTCAAATAGGCGCATTATTAAATATGATTTGGAAACCTCAAAATAAGGGCTCTCTCATTATTATCTACATTAGTTATAATCTGTTCACATTTTGGAATCGAGTGTCTTTAAAAATCAAAAAATTTTAAATTTTAACTTTCCATTTTTGAAAAATGTTAATTTTCTACGTGACGTAAGATTGGAGTTTTTCCAATTTTAGCACTGATAGCAACCATGTATATAGACCTTTAGTTCGGTATATAGGTCATCTTCCTACGTCTTTTTGTTATTGAGAAAAATAGCAAATTTTATCATATTTTGTACCAAATTTTTTTCTTCAATGTTTTAGAAGAATTTACAATAATCGTTCAAAATGCTGTCTGTCTTCTGTTATTTACATGTTTAACTTGAAGACCAAATTTTCCTTACATTTGTAAAATTTACTGGGCAAGAGAACATCAAATGGCGTTTCTCATTCATACAGCTCTATAATTAATGTGCTATATATTTCATTAATGTACTTGGTCTTAGAATACATTAATTAAATATACTAAAATTTTAATTAAGAAAATTCTAACAAGAATTTTTTACCTAATTTATAATTAAGTAAATTAACTAAAGCAATTAATGTTGATTAAGTTTTAATTTGTTATATACATTTGAAACAAATCTATAAACAATAATGAGTCTAAAAACAATTAATTAAGTTTTGAATTACCAGATTATTCTTGGGATGTTTTCAGAAAAATTTTGTTAAAAAATTTGTCTATTAATTTTGCACTGTCTGAATAAAAATCTGCTAAACGTTTTAATATAGAAAGATGAAATTTGTGTACAGAAATAATAATAGTAAATGCTTTATTTTTCTGCAGTAAAATTGTTGCTCCCCCCTGCGTGTTGTTGCCCCCTTCCTGAAATATATTTCTTTAAAAATTTCGCGTTTTAATAAATTATTATGTACAACGTCAAACCAAAATTAGAATAAAAATAATTCTATAAACACAGAAAGTTTAGAAATTATTTCTTCTAAATATAATGTGAAACTATATAAGAGAACTATATAAATATATAGACGTCGGTTAGATCTTAAGCTTTTTAAGCAGTAGTATTAGATAGACTAAAGAGTAATTGAAATCTTGATTTGAGTACTTTTCAAATAATATTGCACTTGTAGCATTTGTATAAATCTTCGTTTTTATTTTTCAAATTTTTTGTACATTATTAAGGTTGTATAATTCTAAATTTTATAGAAAAATTTTTGTTGCATGGGCAAATAACAGAGAGTCAATGTAAATAACTTTGTGTTTCCGTAAACGATTATTCACAATGCGTGTACATGTTAATATATGTAACAGATTGTATTATCCTTTTATAATTAATTTTCAAATTTTGCAAAATTTATTTTCGATATAACCAAATAAAAATATATATGTATTTACATATATACATGGAGAGCTACATATTATACGCGACATATAATTAAATGTCCATGATGACAATTTAAAGGACAACAAATATTTGTCAATATAGTTATGTAATAAATAATATTATATATTAACTTTTATAGTCTAAGAAAACTTTCTGCTCATGTGTCTGTTTACAAAACTGTTGACTGTGTCTGTTTTAGTGTGTTTTATCGCCCTGCCATAAATTCCTTTACTTTAAAATATCTAAAATATCTTTACTTGCCAGCTTCTAAAAGTTATAACCCTCAAAATAATAAAAAATGTCATTTTCAATCGAAGCTAGAAAATATTTTTTGAATTCCTCAAATTCCAAAAAGTAGTGAGTTATACTCATCCTTACATGAGACGCATGAGAATTTTTTTGTAACTTCTGGACATTTATAAGTAATTTATTATACATAATTAAAAGAAAAAGGAAAATTTTTTTCCATCTCCCTCCCCCTTAAATTATCATCGCACGTAGTTAACCCCATATTTTCAAAATTGGAAGATTTCCCGAATTTCTATAGCACCAAAACTTTAACAGTAAATATCTTATAATCAGAAAACATAAATATTAATTTTAGACCCCTTAATAAACAGTAAAATTTATCCATTATATTAAAGCCATTTTATATTTTTGTCCTTTCCCCGAAAAGTATGCAATCTCTTTTTATTGAATAAATTAATTTTCGTATGATAGTTAATCATTAGTTTTATAAATGGATTTATTTACTAAAAAATTTGTGTTTCGAATATAATATTGGAACCTATAAGTTCTACGGTTGAATTTAATCTACATATTGTACAAGATATTACGATATTAAAATATTTTAATGAATATCATAATAATAAATTATATTTTATTTTATCTAAATAATAGCCTGAATCAAGAATTTTAGTTAATTTATTTAAAATTCCCATAATTTAGTAACTATTATTAGATTTGATTTCTAGGCATTCAATTCTATTACTATTTATAATTATTGTGTATGAGATTAAAATTTTTGGAATATAGTTTTAATTATGGAATAGCTAATAATAATAATTATTCGATTTAAGTTCTGAAAAATCGCATTTTAAAATGAGTTCTTTACAATACGAGTTATATTCGTCTGTAGTTCATATGTTAATGAACTTAAAATATAAATTCTTATACTTTTTATTTTATTTTGAAAAGTTTCCTCAATATATGCTTAAAGTTTACCCAGAAATATTAATAAATAATTTTTTTTTCACTTATATTTTTCCATTATTCCATTATTATTTTCTTTTAATTTTTATTTAAGGTCTAAACTTATTTGTAGTTTGATTCAATCAATCAAAATTCATTAGACATACATATATGTATATATAGATATATTTCGTTTTTCAGCCACAAAATAGATTGGTCAATATAATAGCATATGTGTAGGTCAATATAATAGCATATGTGTAGGGCGCTTGAAATATCCTTTATTTAATGATTGAACTTTTAAAGTAGAATATGAATATTAAATGGAAAAATATATATGTGTATGCGTTTATGTATATTGTATAATGACTATTAATGTTATATTAATAATTTATAATAATGAATTCTATTGAATATTTGATTTGTTTATACTATATTAGTTTGTTCAAATATTTATCATGTAATATGCTTAAACACAAAACTTATAAGATTATATAATTTACGAGCTCTTATATTATGTAAATTATAAGAATAAATCAATAGCTTTCAATTAAAGTGTTTTTATTTTTTAACATGGTTATTTTGATATTATCATTAAATTTTATATTAAATTGCTGAGTAAATAGAAATTATTTTGTTTTAAAATGCTTCGAATAATTGAAATACAGAGAGAAAAAAAATAAAATTTATTTTAGAACAGAAAAGGTCATGTTAGATAACTTTAAAATTGTGGGCAATAAATTTTACATATAATCTGAGACTAATAATTCTATATTGTATAATAATGATATTGATTTTCTATATTTGATAAATAGGTTAAGTAGCACAATGTTATAATTTATAAAATTGGACTGAAAAATCAGAAAGTGAAATATGGTTTGTTGAGTTTGTACGGAAATAAATTACAAAATTAACATTAATTTAGAATAGATTTTCAAAAAAAAAAATATTAAAATTTATTAATTTATTTGTTGTTCTAATTATCTGACCATTGGAGCAGTGGTTATGATGCACCGATCCTTTAACCGAAGCGTCTCGGGTTCAAAAACCGGTCAGGTCAT